TAGAAGTTTGTGGGTTAAACAAAAGAGCTGTGGGATTCTGAGGAAATAAAACAATTCCTCTGAACCCTCCCCAGGACATACAGCCTTCCCAGGACCAAGTCAAGGAAGGACAAATTTAACTGTGGAGCTGACAAAAAGGAAAAAAAAAGAAAACAGCTCAAATGACCAAACACACAGCAGAAGTCCTCACTCTCCTAGCGGAGCACATGGTCACAGTACCAAGGCTCCTGGGACCTGGTCTTGGCAGCTTTCGAAAGACTCTAAGTCTGCATCAGCACACTTGAAGAGCTTGCTACATTAGCTGTGAGAAGGTCATTCGGAGGAAGAGCATCTTCATCCCCAGCATCAGCTCTGGCCACCACTCATCGTAGATGCTGGATAAATACTAGGACTGGAGCAATGACTCGGTAGATAAAGTACTTATTGCACAAGCAGAGTTCAGATTCCCCAGCACTGACATAAAAGGCCAGGTCCACTGACACACACACACACACACACACACACACACACACACACACATGTGTAGTTTCAGGTAAACCAGCTTAGCTCAGTCAATGACCTCCAGCTTCTCAAAAAAAAAAAAAAAAACACCACCCACACCGACACACAAACACACACACACACACACACACACACACACACACACACACACACACACACACACACACACACACACACACAGCATGGGTGTAGTGATATGGACATAGCATGTCAAACAGTGTCGGGATATGACCTAGATTAGGGATATGACCTAGATTAGGCATTTATAAACCTAGTGTAGTGCCTGTAGTTTCAGCATTTGGGAGGCAGGAAGATCAGCTCAACTCAAGCCTAGACTACATACATAGTGAGCTTCAGGGCAGCCTGGGCTACATGAGACCCTGTAGGAAGAGCAAAAAATCAAAACTATGCAAAACTTCAAAGGTTGGGGAGATCGTTATTCAATTCAAAACAGAAATTTAAGAATATAGCATCTCTTCTGGCTATTACTCCACTTCAAAGCAGTCATTAACTTTAAAGGCAGTCTGGTAAAACCTGCACTGACGAGTTCCGAGCATTCGGTTCCCACTCAGACCTCTCAGCCGTCACCCACAAGGCTACTCCACGCCCCTATACAAATGATGCCATTCCTCTTCCAACACCTGGGTTCTGAAATTTATATACTTCCTCCCATCAAAACTACTCACTGCTTTGTTTGCCCAGGACCGGGAATCCTGTCCTTAAACATTTGCCATCATCATAGCAACTCCAGAGACAATGCTAAGGCCTTCCAAAGCATAGGCCTTCCTCAGACTCATTACAAAGCACTGACACAGGCTGTCACTCTGGTGAACTGCCATTCACCACCACACCCAGGCCAGGACAAACTGGAAGAAATAAAGCCAGACCCAGTGCTCTTCAAGTCTCTCAGGAATGGGGTTACCTGTGAGGATGCTTGCTGAATGGTGACAGAGGGTACCAAATTCCCAACACAGATCTTCCGGATGACTGCCCTTGGAGACTTCACTGACATTTGTGGATAACCACCTACCCCCCTCCTAAAATGTGACACTGAGGTGACACAGAGCCTCAGTCATAGAGTATTTCCCATCCAAGCATGAAGAACTGCTTTTGGTCTCCAGAACACAGGTTAAAGAGAGCCTATGACACTGTAGTGTGCACCTGTAATCCCAGCAACAGGGAGAAAGAAAAGACTAGATCCCTGAGGCTTGCTGGCTATCCAGGTTATCCTACTTAGAAAATTCCAGGCTAGTAAGAGATCTACAAAATCAAAAAAGTGGATGGTACTTGAAGAACACCTGAGGTTGTCTTCTGGCCTCTACACAGACATAACACACACACACACACACACACACACACACACACACACACACAAACACAATGGCAGAATGACATCAGGAAGGACTGGTGAGCAGCTACTCTTCTGGGACAAGCCCCTCAGCTGTAATTGCAGGAGACTGTGGCATTTCCAAGCTTAGGAAGCCAGCTGGGCTGGTGGGTTCTTTTGAGATTGAGGAAGTTGAATGGGAAGGAAATCTACATTGCTCTCAACTCTTGGGGTCCCTTCCAGCTTCCAGCTTCTCCTGGAGAACACTGCGGATGCACATCCATATGCACATGTTCTTTATAAAAATGTATACGGATGTGTGAATATATAATGAGCACAGCGTTCACACTTCTACACACAAAGCACTGGAAATGTGCACGCTGCTCAGGAGGCGATCCAAAGGATCAGAGAGCTTTGCTGTCACAGTCACTGGAGTTCAGAGACAGCTACCCTCAAAGGGACTAATGCTCCTGGCATCTCAGGTTACCTTAAATTCAGCTGGTGGGAGAACTGGGGAGATGGCTCCATGAGGAAAGCACTTACCTTGCAAGCATGAGGAAATGAGTTCAATCCCCATCACCCACATAAGCCTATATAACCCTAGCACTCCTATGGGAAGATGAAAGACAAACAGGAGACTCAGAGCTCAGCTAGGTCTCTGATGGCATAAGCAGCAGAAAAACAAACAAACAAACAATAAACAAAAAATCAAACAACCCAGAGCCTGTCTCAGACAAGGTTGGAAGCAAGGACTGATACTTGAGGCTCTCTCTCTCTCTCTCTCTCTCTCTCTCTCTCTCTCTCTCTCGCGCGCGCACGCGCGCGCGCGCACACACACACACACACACAAACACATTTAAATTTTTTAAAAAAGTAAGGCACAGTGACGCAGGTTTGTAATGTCAGTGCTGTGAAGGAGAGTGATGCCCCTGAAGCTCACAGGCTAGCAATGGGTCTAGTTCCAAACCAGTGAGAGACCCTGTCTCAAAAAAAACAAACCCAAGGTAGACAAAACCTGAGGAATGACAGCTGAGGTTGTCCTCTGTCCTCTACATGCAAGGACACACACACACACACACACACACACACACACACACACACACACACACAAACAAATACACACTAGCCATTTGGATAGGTACAAAGTTCCAAGCCCCTTTAGACTCCTTTATCCTGACTCCAATCCCCAATGTCCCAAACTAGGAAGGCAGGCTGGAAGGAGAGAAACACAGGAAAGAAATTACTTAAGTCGTTTGTCCAGACATTCAACTGGGCCCCAGACAGTTGCTGGGGACAGATACTTCCTCTCTCTCTGTACCTAAAAAAATCTCTCCCCACTCTACCCTCCTCTCCATTTCCGGTGCTCTACATCAAGTAAGTTGATCACCCCGACATTAAGTTGATAACAGAAGAAAAACTAAAATGCTCTCTAAAGGGGGGAGCTTTGTTCTGATCCTAACAGAATCACACTTAAGCCTGCACATCTCAGCTATAAGTAATAGCCACAAAATGATTTAGAGGAACTAAGGGAGGGTGGGAAAATTCATAAAAGACAGGTATGAGATAGATGGTTTGACTTGCTTGGCTGAGACAACTGAGTTCTGTCCTAGTGACAAAGGGTCTCAGACAAGTCCAGGATAAGAGATCCCCGTCTTGACAAGGAACTTGGGATAGTTGGGATAGGTCAGCCAATGAATGTGCTTTCTACTTAGACCTTAGTAGATTCTGATTTGATGTAACCTTAGATCCAGTGTGTTTACAGGTGTGACCTCACTATTCAACCGGAAAACCCATACAAACCTCAGCTTGCTGCTTCCCAACTCCACAGCCCCCGAAGAACTGAGGGCCATAAACAAACACCAAATCAAGGCCTGGCAATTAGTGCCAGGAGTTACTGAGCTGTAGACCTAGCCCAGGGCAACCTCAGCAAGTCAGAAGACATATGATGGGACCATCACACACACACACACACACACACACACACACACACACACACAGCGCTCAAGGATGCTCCAAAAGCCACTGAATAAAAAATGCAAGCGCCACCCCTTCCCTCTTCCTTGCGGTGGCTTTGTGTGTGACATCGACTGTGAGCGCGCGAATGTTGCCGGGCTCACACACCCCCTTCCACCCAACCTGCTCGCGGCGCAGAGTCAATGCGCGCGACTGAGCGCCTGCCCTGGTCCACCTGGCCGACCGAGGAGTCACCAGGCCTCTGGTCCTCCACCCGCCGGGAGCAAGGGTATGACATCCACGCCCCCATCTCCAGAGGCCAGGGTGGCTCTGGAAAGCAGAACCGTGATGCCCATCACAGGCTAGTCAGAGGCCTGGGGACGAGAAAGGGTAGACAAGAGGGCACAGAGATTCCCCACTCGCACACCCCCTGCCCCCAATTTAGCGAGCTACGGCCCCAAAGGGGACCGAGGAGGCTGGCCTGGCGACTCGGCAGGAAGTTCCTAGGACCGCACTGAGCATGCTCTAGGGGAGTGTGTACGCGGGTGTCGGCCCTTGCATCCCGCAGCCTCAGCCATCCGCCAGCCGTGGGTGCACGCCGGCTGGATCGAGGTCGAGCTGGCGGTCCCCAAAGCTATCTGGAGTCCGAGGGGGTTTCCCTGATCTCCCAGCCCGGAGCTTCGGACCTTCTTATCCATTCTCCCCAGGGCCCTGGGGTCCCGCTCCTTCATTCTTCCTTCCAACTGACTCAAGGTATATCCCACTTAGAGCTCCCAGATCCCCAGGACCCTAGTCCGGCCCACGCTGGCATCCCGATTCTATGTGTTTTCCCTATGGTCCCAGTGTCCAAAATGCCAATCTCAGCTTCTTGCCTCCAGCCCACGCCACCCGAGACCCCTCTCCTCTGGACAGTTCCTTGAGAAACCTAAAAGCCTCAGAGCCTAGAGAGGGTCTTCAGGGTCCCGAGAGAGGGGATGCCCCGAGCAGGTGGTGGACCCTCCAAACTCACCCCTAGGTTGTACTCTGGGGTTCCCACCCCCGTCCCAGATCAGACACAGCCAGAACACCCACGCGGCCCCGGTGTCAGCGCTGGGCCGGATAAGGGCTGCTTCAGCTCCTCTAGCGGCCCCCACGCGTCCCCCTCCCTCCCTAGTGCATGCGTCTCCTCGGGGGAGATGGCGAGCTCTGAATCGATCGCCCGACCCGCAGCAGCTCATACCTGCTAGTAGGGGAGCAACAGAGGCACCATCAGCAGCAGTCGGGGTCACTCTCCAACAGCCGTGCTCTGGGGGACAGGGGGGTCCCAGGAGCAGCCAGGAGCGGGGTCACAGCGCCCCCAGAGCTTGAGGCGCGGCTACCTGGGCTGGATCGAGCCTGGGGCCGCCGCCGCTGCCGCCACCGCGGGAGCCGCAGGGCTGCCGGGCGAGCGGGCCTCGGCAGGGACGGGCTGCCAACTACCAGCCCTGGCGGGGCCGTGCGCAGCGCGTTCACCGTCCGCCCCTAGACGCAAGCAGGGACGTTCCTCCTGGGTCCAAGCGACCAGGACGAGCGGAAAGGAAATCTGATCGAGGTTTCTACCAACCCTTCCCTGCTCGACCTCCCTAACTTCTCTGAGCTTCTGTGCTCGCGCTTTTCTTCTAGGCAAAGGGATTCCGGGCCAGGGACGTTCTGCAAATTCCCCGCCCACCCTGGCAGAGCGCTCAGCCAATTCGGAACGCCCCAGCTTCTCGGGGACCGTCTGCAAATTCTAGACTCTGTAGGAGAGGACTTTGAAGCAGCTCTATTCCGCATCCCAAGGAGAAACCTGCTAGCTAGACTGAGGGAGTTGGGACCATAAATACTATTCTAAAAAGGTCCGTGGCAAGGTAAGATCACTGATACAGACCGCGCATATTCCAGAAAAATACTCTCTGGGCCTCTTCAAGATAAGAGCCGTCCAGGACTGGAGCCATTGGGGGGGGGGGGGTCCTGGCAACTTTAATAAACGCCCTGAGTTCCCTTTTCTACTTCACAGAATAGACTGGCAGAAGCAGTAGGCATTTCTGTCCCTTTTCTTTTGTTTTTTTGTTTTTTTTTTAGCTGAGGAGATTCATATGTATTTATTTTGTGATTTTTTTTTTTATTGGAGGGGAGAGGGTGTTCTCCCCTATCCCAGACGCACCACAAACTTGCTTTGTAGCCAAGAATAACCTCAAATTCTGGATCCCCTTGCCTTCATCTCCTTGGTGCAAGGATTACAAGCATCAGACGCCACACCCTTGATTTTGTGACCCTGGGCAAGCCATTTATCCAGCTCCACTCAGCGGCTCTATTGATGAGAGAGCAATAATGGCTGCTTCATGAAGTTATTGTGAAGGTGGAATGAAATATTTGTAATGGATTTGGCAGTGACTGGTCCACAGTAGGCACACAATTTTTCTAATGTAGTTCTTTCCTCTGCCCTGTCTGTATTTTAAGAGCAGCCTGGACAGCTTAACTCGGTACTGTTGTAAATTCAAAAAGAAATAAAACACATCCCCTGCCCTGAGGGCACCACAATGAAACACTGACTAGCATGAAATATTAAATCAGTCTGCCCTCCCGGGAGCTGCCACACATTTACATCATGGAGCATTAGAGATCCTGGTTAAGTGTTATCTGGAATGGAAGGAGGGGTGGACTGGTGGATTACCCAGGGTGTAAATGACAGGAAGTCCTACTCCTGTGAGCAGTCACACTATCCAGTTACAGTGTAAGGGTTTATCCTGCAGAATTTCTTCAACCTGGCTTCTCAGCCTCCCTGAGGTCTTCATTCTTGTGCTAAATTCACCCTAACTTGCCCCCTACTCAGCAGACTCATTTAAAACCTGGGACTATGGAATTTTGGAATTTTTTAACTCTAGAAATAATTGAGCTCCTCTTCTGCATTTTGTCAAGTAGCCTGCTGGGCCACACAAGCAGAGTATGGGCTCCTGACTCCAGGGCCTTGCATGGAACACACCTGTGGTGTTGTCTCTTGCATGGAGCACCCTGGGAATATACACAAAAGAAATCAGCCCTCCCTTTAACATCCACCTGGAGGAAAGACTAGACTGTTATAAACAGTCTAGGTGGTGTCCAAGGATGGAGACGAAATCTGGGTGGGCAGGATGATACCATAAGAAAGGATCTCTCCTGGAAACCCCAAGAACATTCTGAGGCAATACTCCTCTCACTCCCTAAGAAGAAAGTGTCTCAAGAAAAATGGTGACATCTGGTGGCCAGGACTTTCTGTGCTGGGTACAGATTCTAATCATAATAGATTCCTTTGAAAGCCAAATTCCCGTGGATGGTTCCTAACTGTACCAACCTGGTTGTCTGAGAGACATTAATCACTTAAACTTTATATAGTTTGTTCTATATTGTTATTTCAGATTCTTTAACCCAAAGCACATATGCATATAAAGAAATAAGTACGATATAAATAAAATATGCAAATTCATGCATACATATGCAGATTCTCTGTCTTTTCCTACCTACTTACATAAATATATTACACGTTCTTTGGAAGACATTAATATTACTTCAATTGTTCTTCCTATGGAGTAAACTTGATAATTTACTGGATCTGGGGAGATGCTTCAGTTAGTAGAGTGCTTGCTTGTATGAACATGAAGACCTGAATTCTATCTCCAGAACCTATATGAAAAGGGTCAGACTTTGTGGAGCATGTGTGTAATTCCAGTGTTGGGGAAGAAGAGACCTGCAGATCCCAGGAGCCTGCTAGCCGTCTAGTTTAGCCAAATTGGAGAGTTCCAGGTAAAAGTGAGTGATCCCGTATAGCACAAATTCTAATAGATCTTAATAATAACAACCCAGAGTCAGAAATTGGGGTGGGGGAAGCTGGAAGATCAGAGAAACAAAGCAGCCAGCCACTAGCTCTTACCTCTGTCTCAGACTGAAGGAGTTCTAACTTCCACACCCTAATATCTGAGTTTTTATGATTAAGACCAATTAGAATTTGGATGACAATCCTGTCTCAAGAAACAAGCAATGACAGCTAAGGTTGGCCTCTGACCTCCACAGGAACATGAACACAGAGACTGTGATATACTATCTGCAATATATAAAATGGCAAAAGGACCCTTCCTTACAAGGAGAAAGGTGATGACTAGAATGGGGCTATTCCATCTCTATTTCATATCTGTGTGTCCCAGAGACAGCGTTTACTACAAAATTAGGAAGAAATTTGAGGTTTCCATGATGAAAGCCTTCTGGCTGATGAGGTCAGGTCTGGTGAGAGGAGTGATCTTTCTACCATGTCCACTCACAAACAATGGGTATGTTGCATGCATGTTTAGTCAAAACTCTACCCGCTCCTTACAGGGCACCAGCAACAAACCAAAGTACAATCCCACCCAAGTCCAACTTGGGGAATAGATGAGTTTATTGGGCTTACTTACGAAATATGGGGTGAAAGGTTTCTTACTGGGAATACTTCAGCCATCAGGGTACTTGCTTGTATGAACGTGGAAACCTGAATTCCATCCCCAGGACTTATATGAAAAGTGATTTCAAATCAGCCACACCCCAACATGAATGGTGACTCCCTCATAGTTATATAGTCTGCATATGACACTTAAGTTAACTTTCTATAATCTGTTGAACCACCGGACCCTGTTCAATTGAGGCAGAATTACATGTGTTCTAGTTTCCTTCTATTGCTATGACTAACACCATGACCAAAAGCAACATGGGGAAAGAGTTCATTTGGCTTACACTTTCAGCTCACAATTCATTACTGGGGGAATTCAGGCTAGGGACTTAAAACAGGAACTATGGAAGAATACTACTTGCTGCCTAGCTCTCTGGCTTGATCACAGACCTATGTTACTCAGTGTTGGTGCTGCCCACAGTGGGCTTGGCCCTCCGATATCATTTATTAATCAAAACAATCACTCAAATACATGGCAATACGCCAATCCAGTCCTGGCAATTCCTCAGTTGAGGTTCCTTATTTCTGTGATGCTTCACGTTGACAGTAAAAACCAACTAGCACACTACATATACCTACATGGACACCTCCTGTCTGAAGATTCAGGAGGGAGGGATGGGAATCTCAAGTGACAGTACAGTGACACTCCTCACCCCCTGTTTCTATGAGGGATCCTCAACAATCAAAAAGCCTGATCTCAGGGGTTTCTTGCTAGGAGTCACAGCTGCCCTGACAGGGTTGGTGGCTGCTGACAGCCAGGATCATAGGAGGAAAGAGTGCTACAAGGTGTCAGGTAAAAAGGAGGATGAATGTCTTGGGTTTTTTTTCATATCATTGCTAGTGCCTGTTGCCAAGTTATTTCAAATTATATTGCTCCATATATTTGTTCCAGGTGCCATATGGTAGATAATTGCTTAGTTATCAGCATAAGTAAACACACTCTGTCCACATAGCTGTCCATTGTTTTCTAACCTCTCTGTGTGAATTATGTTTATTGTTATAATACTTTATGGGACACAGCTTAATGTGTCCATTTTATAGACTTCAAAAAGGTAAATAACATACCCACCCATAAGCACTATTGCTAAGGAGTCTAGTCAAGACTGAATCCAAAGTCAGCTTATTCCCAAAGCCTGGAATCTTCTATGTCTTGCTGGCCACATTAGATAACCAGGAAGAGATGAGGGATGGAGCAGAAACTAAAGTATATGTGACATACATAAAGCCACACGTCTTGGCCTATTGAAGTTTCAAGCAAATAACAATTGTGGTCATAAAATGTATAAAGCTTCATCCCATGTGTTTTGGTCTTAGATCAGGACTCTGTTGGTTGCCACCAGTACCTCCACAACGACAGTGTGGGTGGTTTGTTTGTGTGTGTGTGTGTGTTTGTTTGTTTGTTTTATTGAAGTTTTTTTCTTGCTGGACTTGAACCACCTTCCTGCCTAGAGAGATTATCTACTACTGTATCTTTGGAGAAGGCAGAATCTCTGCTGGTGAAAGTGAATGGCTGAGGTGGACAAGTCAGGGGTACCCAGTTCCTAATGTGCACATGCTAGTGTGTGTGTGTGTGTGTCGGGCAGGGGGGGGTATGCTGAGGCACCTTACCAGTGCTTGTGACACAAGGCTTTGGGAATTGTTTCAAGATGCAAGCCATTGAGGTGATGCCTGTCTTTCTTTTAAATAAATCCCTTTCCCACTTAATCAGTCAAAAAACAAAACAAAACAAAACAAAACAAAAAACGGTCCAGTTGTTTCTAATTAAGTAGCTGGATGATGGACATTTGAATCAAGAGGTACAGCCCTTGGGAAAAATACACCAGAGAAGCGTCTTCTAGCTTGATTACAGCTGAGATCTGAAACACAATAGAAAGGTTTTTGATGGGCAGGACTATGGTACAGCACTTTCTAGCATACTTGAAGTGCTGGGTTCAATACCTAGCAGCAAAAAGGAAATGGGAACAAAATTTAAAGTTCTTTATGTAACCTTTGGTCTACATTAGCTAAATTTCATTAAATTCATGGTCAGGGATATTACCTTAGTAGTAGAGTAAATATAAGGTTCTAGGTTCAACCCCTAGCACCATAAAAATACCTATTAAATTTATGAATTGATTGCATATAGATTAAAACAACCAAATCAAATTTTAGGGAGACCAAGCAGAAACTAAGGAATATGAGGACCATGGGA